GCGGGAACCCCCCCGCCACAGAGGCCCGTTCCCTGGCGGCGCCGGATCGGGCCCTGGGGGGAACTCCTCCCCGACGTGCGCGTCACCCGGAAGTGACGCGGGCACGCTGGGGGCGGGGCCATGGCCATACAAGGGAAAACTCTATGGTTTTCCCTTGTATGGTCGTGGCCCCGCCCCCAGCGTGACCGGCGTCATAACGTCACTTACTGGTGATGTGTGTGCGGTGCGCGCGCTCCGAGATCCACCCGGGAGTCCCCCGCCGCCAAGGTAAGTTCCACTTGGCAACCCTATATGGCGCATGCATGCTTCGCGCGCGCACGCTCCAGCCGGGAGTCCCCGCTGCGACTGAATTCACACTTGGCAACCCCTAGCGATGGCACAGGGCCACAGCATGTCTAGCTGGGGCAGCACTGGCTTGGCAGCTTCTCTCCAGGACATGAGAAGTTGAAGGGTAGGCACAGAGATTGTTTCCACTAAATAAATGGAAGTTTTGGTGGATAGACTGTATGCCATGGCCTTGTATCCATGATAAGCAATCTTCTCAAACCACCCTTCCCAGGCTCTCCCACAAATCTCCAGGAATTTCCCATCTCAGACTTGGCAACCCTAAACCCCATTCCCAGTCTAAGGCTTGTGGGCCTTCTGAGGGAATCACTGGAGGGCTCCGCAGCCCACTGCCTGACAGGTTCCCCAGCACAGTGTGCCTCATTACGGGGGGCATGCATTCTGTGGTGGCTCTCTTCATACCACCACTTTGTCAGGACTTCTGGATTTGCTTTGTGTTTGAAAGCTGCTTTTCCCGTTTGATTTTTTAAAGATCGCTTCTGCTTTATATGTTTCCTAAATTACCAGTCTTGGAGAACAGTTGAGCCTTCAAGGTCTGACTGAGAGCTTTAGCACACATGTGAGTTTGCAAAAAGTAAAATACTGATCGTGTGCCGAGATTGTGTATGTAGTAATGTTTCACACTGACTTTAATGGACACTAGAAGAGTGTAACTGTATAGGGTTACACTGCTAGTAATGGTAAAATGCAGGAGATTCTAACAACTGTCCTGTGAAAAGGACAATCTGACATTATTGCAAGAGTGAAGGAGAATAAGTACGGCATAATGGGCTCCCTATAAATATTTATCGCTCTTCAGCCTTGTGATGCATTTGAATCAAGTATGTTTTACAAGTTGCTAGTGTGAAGGGCTCAGACTGGTACAGAATGTGTTACAACTCATGTGACTCATCAATCAGAAATGAAGGAGCAATAAAAATGCGTAGCTGTTGAAATGTATCAACTCCCCTAAACCTCTTCAACTTGGTGCATTCCTGTGTCCCTTAAAAAAAACACACACAACTTCCTGACCTAGTACAGGTATAATGCTTGCCATGTCTCCCAACCATAGTGGAAAGATCAGGAGTGCCCGATCACATGGCTCCTTCCTCTTCTCCTGTCTTCTCTTTCATTTTTGGATCTAACCATGGTATAGCATTCCCTTATAACACCATTACCATTTTCAATAGCTGACGTTAGTTCAAGTAGGCCTGCCAACCCCCTGATGGGGGCGGGGGTTCCCCTGATGATGGGGGCCCCAATACACTGCTGGCCAGCTGGCCGGTGGGGAAGCCCCACTCCCAAAAAGTCCTGGAGGTGACATCATCACAGCGGCCATGTTGTGTGGGGGATGCGCTAACATTTGGGTAAAAACTGGCTTACAGAAAGAATAAAACACACAATAGACTGTTTAAATAAGCCTAAAACCAGATAAAACATTCTAACATTACAATGTGCTAACACTGATGACACTAATAATTAAAGAAATGTTAAAAGATTTTAAAAGATGGCGGCCAATCTTCAGTATACCGTCCTAGCGGTCAGCCTGTAGATCTAACCTTATGCAGCTGGCACAGGCTGTTCTGCTGTCTTCAGAGGACAGGTTTCTCTATTGAGGCGGCTCCTCCTAATTGAAGGCCTGAAGGAAGAGCTCTGCCTTGCAGGCCCTGCGGAACTGCATAAGGTCCCATAGGGCCCTGATCTTTTCTGGAAGCTCATTCCACCAGAGAGGAGCCACCACCAAGAAGACCCTGGTCCTGGTTATTGCCAGCCTGGCATCCTTGGGTCCGGGGAGGGTCAATCAGTTTTGGGACCCTGATTGCAGTGCTCTCTGGGGAACATGTGGGCAAAGGCAGTCCCTCAGGTATGACATGACATTAAGCCATTAGAAACAATATAAAAACATCAAATATCATAAGAGTAATAACATTAAAACCAATTTAAAACAAATTCAAATTCACGATGGCGTCACTAGCAATGATGCAATTGAAAAACTGGAGTTCTGAAAGGTTTTTGGTTGCTTCCTAAGTTCTTTTTGGTTTGTTTTATTTTGGGGGTGGGGTGGGGATGGGGATAGGATTGTTGTGGGGAGAACACAAAGAAGGGGAGAACACTTCACAGCACTCTGAGCTTCTTGGTGGAAGGGTGTTATAAAATGTGCTATATAAATGCCATATCATGGCTATCTGCGACATTAAAGAGCAGAGGGCAATTCATGCCTTTAATGAAGTGGGCAAGGAAAGATCATGTAAGAACATGGGGATCTCCCATTGATCAGGAGACCGGAAAGCATCTGTATCTACACTGGACAGTGCCACTTCAGTCTAAAGCTAGGATTGCGTGATTGAGTGCTGCCCCACAGGAACAAAAAATTTGTTTATGGAGAGACTATCACAAAGGTTAGGCACAATCTTTATCTGGCATCTAGTATTTTGTGCGCAGTCCTTGGAACACTTTCCCCACTGTTTATCTGCTCTTCCTGTCAAACTGCCCAAACATCCCTCCCGAAGCCCTAAACTGAATGATTAAAGAACACTTTTTCCACAATCATGTCACAGATAATAGTCATTCAGAGTTGTTCTGGTTTGTTATCATGGGGGTTGTTTAAAAGATTGAGTCATTTTCTCTAGTTTTGTTCCTGTTTCTCCAACTCTTCTTCATACTCACTGACCGGGGTGGGGGTGGGGGTTTATGCCAAAGACTATGTCCTTGCAGTGCTACCGACTTTTCATCATAAGCATTATTGCGTGTTATTTTTCAGCTAGACTGACAGTCAGTTTGACTTCTTAGGCCCGCCAGAGAGTCTAACATTGCCTAATGCCTAGTGATCTGAACTGTTCCCAATTTTTTGTCCCCCAGAGGAATTCAGAGGAGTCACAATTGTGGAGCTGATCAAAAAGGAAGGAAGCACCCTTGGGTTAACTATATCTGGTGGCACAGATAAAGATGGGAAGCCAAGAGTCTCCAATCTGAGACCAGGAGGGCTGGCAGCAAGGTAAGACAACCTCAGTGGAAAGTATAGTATTCTGAGAAAAGACAAGCAGGGGCTGGCAGGGTTCTTCCTTAATTTTTTAAATCCTTGAGTTGTGACAGATAGTTGATACAGAGCTTGCCAAGTTGTAAAAGAATTTCTGAAAAGGCATGGCCTTGGCATTCCACTCTGGTCTGTTTGCTGTGATCAAAGCAGTGACTGCAAAATTACATTTTTAGAACTTCATTCTTGGGATGGTTTTTGAACTCTGTTGTCAGCCTCGCCAGCCAAGAGATCACAGCATAGAAATCTAAGAAGTACACATTTAAAAATACTGTGTCCCCTTCCCTACCCACCCCCTACCTTCCTATTTATTTATTTGCACATGGAGTTGACACTATTCAGTGGGTAGGCTTAAGAAGGTGATGTGGAGGTAGAACATGGCCTGTGTCCATTTGGTAGTGCAGCATTAAATGAGACTGTTGTTATTAGAGATGTCAGGTAGTTAGCTAGAGAGGATCTATGCATAGGCATGTAATGGGCTCTGGAGAGAAATTAACAGGGATTTTGCTTTGTATGTTACAGGAGTGATCAGCTAAACGTTGGTGACTATATCAAGTCAGTGAATGGGATTAACTTGACCAAACTGCGACATGATGAAATCATAAGCCTGTTGAAGAATGTGGGAGAAAGAGTGGTACTGGAGGTAGAATATGAGCTCCCCCCAGCTGGTTAGTTCTTCCATTTTTTTAATAGTCCATTTTGAATATTTTGTCGCAATTCAGTCATGCTTCAAGCAGGAGATGGCTTCCCTTTCCCTCGGATATGTGAAACTGGCTTTTATTGATTATTCTGACCAGCAGTGGTTTTCCAAGCCTATTTTTTCTGTCCAAGTTCCTTTAACTAAAGATGTCTGCGCCATTTGCTTGCAAAACACGAACTCTATCGCTGAGCTGTCTCTTCCCTGTTTGCTTGATCTTTTCCCCTTCTCGATAGGGGAAGCATAGTATTCTGTGCACAGTTGTATGGATGGTAACTGTTGCAGAATGGTTCCTTGGGGGAGCTACTTTTTCCCAACATGATGGGTACGTGCTGTTGTGTGTTGCCCCGAAACAGACTGATTAGATCTGCTCTTGCCTTACGATGATCCAGCAGCAACTCTCTGCTCTGCTGTCCAGCAACTCATCAACTTTCTCCCCGGTTTGGCAGTGTGTCCTGTTGTAAAAAAGCATGACTTAGAATCTCAGATGCCCCCTTTCAGCCGATTTGAATTTTGTTTTAATTATGCGTGCTCCCAAAGAGGCTCAACCTCCATGTTTACCTGTGTGTGCTGATTAATACAGGTTTTGTGCCATCTCAACCTTCTCACTGTCACCATAGCTTGAGGATCTGGGTGTGAATGCTTTTGTATTGTGTGAGATTCTTTCCCTTTCACCCATGCTGAATGCTGGGGCTGCTAAAAATTTGACAATTCTTGAGATTTTGTAAGCACAGGCAGGCAGAGCAAGTAAATCGTACTGTTTGCACCTTGGGATATAAAGGATATT